ATTAATTATATATTTTAAACTAAAATATTTAAAATAAAACTTAATTTGAAACACTGGCGGTTAATTGCTGAACGACAACGAATTGGAGTTATTAATTAGTTCCCCAAACAAGAAGCGACCATACTGCCTCCGTGGCCGAACCATGTCGGACTGCCACGCTGAGGTCCCAGGTTCGATTCCCGGGTCGGGGGAAATATTTGTATGGTTGTCTATGTATATGTCCTTGGCACCCGCGAAACAGGGTTTCCCTAGTGCGGGGCTATGTTGAGTGTGTTCGTTTTTTTAATACTACAGGTGTATAAGCTTTACTTTCGTTTCTTGTAACAAAAAAAAATATTTCGATAAACAGAAAATTGAAAATGTTTGAGAATAAGACTTTCTGATGTTGTAACATACCACCACGGGTGATATTTCTGATGCGGCTAACATTTTTTCACTCCAAAACAGCACAATAAGGCACAATAATATTTCTAAGCACAATATTTTTTCTATGATTTTACAGAATTTGCACGAAAGAATGACACAACCATACCAACCCAAGCGAAAATGGCGGACTGACCTCAGATAATTCTTTCGAGACTTATAGTTGGCACGCGTCAGACGCTAACTAACCACTTCTACTGTATTTTTTTTTTTTTTTTTATACATGACAGGCAAATGACTCCACTCCACCTGATGTTAAGTGGAAAGTGGTATCCAAACGCAAAGGAACCTAGTGCAGCGATGAAACCCTCACTGCACTAGCCACCTCCACCCTGCCTGCCTACAATATGCCTCTTCACGCCTCGTTTGAAGGACCCCATATCATAAGAGGGAGGGAAGACATGTGCCGGAAGGGAGTTCCATTTGTCAACCGTGCGGCAGAGAAAGGAGCCACCAAACCTTTTAGTACGCGATGGAATGCGGCAGGTAGTGAAACGGTGACTACGAAGGCCAGCACGCGTGCTTCTAAGCAGGAACGGGGAAGGGGGGATGAGGTTGAACAGCTCTTCAGAGCACTCACCATGGTACATGCGGTAAAAGGCGCTAAGCGATGCAACATCTCTACGCAGTTGCAGAGGTTCAAGGCGTGATGAGACCGAGTATTATTGTTCTAAGAGCAAAGGACTCAATACGTGGCCACTGACGAGACCAACGAACAACCAAGTTCCACAGAAGTCCCGTCACCGGCTCCTGCTTCTCACAGAGCTCTTAGGGACATTTTTTTTAAGGATTATTTGTAATGTAAGGGTGGAGGGATGTAGATATTAAGTGAAGTTGTAACGAGTGCGCTGTGTTCCACACGGACCACTCAGAAGTTGGCAGTTGATTATAGGACTTCAATCTATAGAAACGTGTTTCCTTTGGTGTACCTCAGGTTGACCCCCTCTAACATAAGCTCGTCAAAATAATAATAAAAAATAGCTTTAAAGTTTTCAGTTAAAATGTGTTTTACTAATATTATACTATGCGAAACTAACCTTCATAAGTTGGACCCATTTGGTTATCCGAATCCAACGACAGCTGCGAAGCTTCCGACATTGATCTTTGTAAACGCAGTTTGTGGTTAAATTCCTGCAATATAAACATTTTCATGATATAGATTAATGTATTACACGAATATAAAAATACGAATTTACTTTGCAAATGTAAATACACGAATGTACTTTGCAAATGTAAATATATGAATGTACAGTCGACGCCCAAAGATACCTAACCCCTTAATCAGATCATGTGAACAAAGATGTTAAACAAACAGGTGCTGGTTCGTTCCGTTGCTTAGTTGGTATAGCGTCTGGCACAGTATGCTAGAAGACGTCGGTTTAAATCCGGCCGGATCGAAGGAATTTTTTCTGAGTGTTCGATCTTTGTATTAATAATTATAAGAAACTAGTAGAGTAATTTCACATAAATATAATTGAATAAAATTTTAAAAAGATGTTAAACAAGTTTAAACTTCTTTATCGCATCATCCTTCAATGATATTTTAAGAAACTTTTTAAGCCAATTTGATCTTTTATTTACATTACATAAATACAAAATGTCTACCAAACAGCTTGAATTTCTTTACACTTTTGAAAGCGTAAGGCTCTCAGAACCAACGCAAGCATCGACTGTACTTTGCGAATGAAATACAAGAATATACTTGGCAAATGTAAATACACGAATGCTATATACGTTTATGATTTACGGATGCGTAATTAAGAGTCGATATTATTTCAGGTCGATTTCGAATTTTTCCCGTACTGTTTATTTTGCTTGCTCAATTTTACTACATATTTTTTTGCAAGTGTGATTGATTCAACACTCTCAGTGTTATGCAGAATCAACCAAAGCAATTTGAGGTAGTATAGACTATTAAGGAATATATTATAATGGATAACCTCTCGATTTGCAAATAGTGGCGCCATCTTATGTTCTCTTATTTGGACATAGTTATACAAACAAGAACCAACCCACACCTCGAGTGAAATTGAGTTATGTATTTAGGTAGAACTCCAGACGTGTCCTTTGTCCACTCACAAAAGATCTTGGCAATATACCAAGCCAAAAGAGGAGAAAATAAAAGTCCTTCAGGGTACCAACCCAAATAAGTAACTTTTTAATAGCTAAAAAGAACCATGCTGCTTAACTTCATATAATGTATTTAGCGTTTTCATTACGAAAACTATAAAATGGTTCTCGTTAACTAAATAAAAAGATACATAATGTTTTCTATTTATTGCTATATAATATAATAGTTTCCCTATATCATTCTCAGTGCTACACGTAACTCAAGTTGTTTGTCTCAAATAACTTACCTATTTATTTCTTCACACTGTTTTTACAAAAATCTAATTATATCGAAAGTGACATTTTGTGGGTTGGTTCTAGTTTGCATAACTATGTCCATTTGTTTTATAGCAAAACAAGACCTTATAACAAATTATAATATAGCCTAATTTACAAGACTAATGAGCAATTTTAATTTAACACTACTTTCTAAAATGAAATGCAATAAATTGCGAAAACAATACGTGTACAATATTTACGGATGCGATACACAGATTTAAATGCAGCTACTATACGTGAGTAAAAATGCAATTAATTATTTCATCACAGTTGCTCGTAAACAGTGCCATGACATGCAGGCAAAGTCGACCGTAATGACCTAAATTATACCCGCGGGCTTTTTCATTACATTATCGCCCAATTGATTTTTTACGTCAAGACTAAGCAAAAAGTTTTTATGCTCGAAAAATCTGAACGTGTATCTCGCGTAAACTTGACGAATAAAAAAAACTGAACGTTTGCAATTTTATTACATTTTACTAAATTTATTTTGTGAATTCAAATTTTGCAAGAATTCTGAAATTATTTATTTTATATCTAATACAATGTGGATGCATGCGTCTATGCCTTTTAAAATCTATGGAACGATAGGCAGAAAAAAACAAAAAACACGCCATTTGCAAATCCGTAAATGTCGTGTTGTGGAGCGACATGTATTCATACAAGAAATAAGTTAACGTTGTATCTATTTCCTCGCAAATGTGATGAAAAACATTGTATGTAGCACGGGCGGTAAAAATTACAATCTCTCGCGTTCTCGTTGGTATTTCCTTATTTACCGCCCTTATACACAATGTTCTATTTACTTATGTAGTACACGAGTTCAATACATGAATAATATCAATAAAATGCAGTACACTGAGTACACTGCCGCTTCTCTTCATGTCGGATTTGACATCGGTTTTCGCCGTCCCATTATATAAAATCTAGGATAAATAAGATTGGATTAAGATTTGTGACTTATTCTTAAACATACAAGAATCATTTTTGATGTGGGTGCGTGTTTATAAGCGAAATAAAATGGCAAACGACACTGTAAAAATAATGCTTTAGTGGCCAAACGGCTACCAAGCTGGTCTGCCTCACTCACTCAGAGATCCCGGGTTCGATTCCCGGAACGAGAGGAATATTTACATGGCCTACATTTATTACTCTTGTCAGTTTGGGCGTAATTTGTGATTGTCGATGTGTGTGTTGGACATACACATCGACACAGGGTTTTTTTTATAATAACTAAGTGAGTTTGTTTATCATAAGGACAGTAGTGATGTATCTAGGCCGGCCGTAAGTTTTGGATATATCCAAGACTCCACATTTATACGACATTGGAGTGAGATGGCCTATCTACAGATTGGTTCCCTGAGCGCAATAACTTGAGTCTTTTCAAGGCGCAAGTGAATAGGCATTATTAAATAGGTGTGCATGAAATGGAGGTCAAATGCGAATTTATTTTATACACGGAAGAACAAAAACAATGGAAGTACCTTATGCCTCGATTACTATCAGAACCCATGTCGCCAAAACGCACACTTTCGTAATTTGGAACACTACAAAATCTTGATATTGACTATGGTTTCAAACTTAAAAAGAAATAACAGATCCTGGATTGTTAATACAAATTAAACTTTACCCTGTTGGCATATCGTTGAAAATTCAATATCATCAATACCTATTATTGCAAATTACGATGTTATAATATTGCAATTTCAATCAATGTGCTGCCATCTAGCAGTTTTTTGCTGAACGACGACGAATTGGAGTTATTAATTTAGTTCTTCAAAACAGAAGCAACCATATTGCAGGGGTATAAGCTTTACTTTCGTTTCTTGTAATATAAAAATTATTTCGATAAACGAAAAATTTAAAATTCATTAAAATAAGACTTTTCGATGACATGAAATACAACCACGGGTAAAATTTTTAGTGCAGCTATCATTTTTTCCCTCCAAAACAGCGAGAGAGAATTTGCACGAAAGAATGACACAACCATACCATACCAAGCGAAAATGGCTAACCGAGCTCAAGTAAGTCTTTCGAGATCTATAGTTGGCACTTGTCGGACGCTAACTAACCACTTCTACTGTATTTATTGTTCTGTGATTTAATACATATAAAAATCTTACCACACTGTCCTGTTTCTCGTAACTGGCAGCTTTCAACTTCTGTTTCTCTTCTTCAACCTTCTCACCCATTTCTATCAGCTTCTCGAACTCGGCTACGCTGTTTTTCAGCTCTTGATATGTGCCCTGGGCTACAATCTGTTTAATATCAAACAATTATTTAAACATTGTTTTCTACTCCTGTACTTCAATCTGTCAAATATAATTTCATAAACAATATCTTACAGGCGCTCTTTTTAGTTCTGAATCAAAATTCTATTGTCTACGGTACTCACAGCTGAACTAAAAAAAATCATTAAAGTTCTTTACACAGAACTATAATGAGTTTCAAAAAAAGAACATCGTATTTTTGCTCATTTAAATAACAGTTAGAACAACACTCAAACGCTATACTGCCTCCTGATTGGTTAAATCGGCCTAAGGCGCTGCGCACACGATACTTCGTGCTTTACTAGTTTGATCTCGAGTTTCAGCAACTGGCAACTCGCATTTACTTGTTCATGACGTATTTCATATAATTTCATACAACTGCGCAGATGTACCAAATTCACTTGAGAGCTTCGGCAATCGACAATTTTTTGATTGCCGAAATCCGTGATTCACCTCAAAACCGTCGATTACTATGGATAGTTTGTCGTAGTTAACGCCGTCGGCGGCGGCGACGCTATTATACAAGTACGTACAACAAGACAAGTGTTGCTTCTTCGAGATCCATAGTCAAACTGACCGATGACCATGGATAGCGAACGTTTATTTAAAATTGCTGCCACCGTAAACTGTTGCTGCGATCGGCAACCGTTAACGGAAACTGACAGTTGCGCCAAATGCAATTGCTTTGTGTACGCAGCGCCTAAAAGTCTTGCAACCGGGCCATAAATCTTTATAGAAAAAAAAAATATTGGTTAAAATATATGCGGCATGTGGCCAGTTCTTTTCTATCTCTTTGGTTTTTTGTTTTGTAGCGTTTGTTCAGCTTTCGTCTAAATACATGAAGAGGCTGTATGGTGGAACCTTTTACAAGAATACAAGAATACAAGATATTTATTCGCTGAAAAATGTAGTTTACAATGGTCTTATAGTATATTATTATTAGATCGTACATTTCACCAAAACTTGGCATGCGAATATTTTACACAATTCTTATTTCAATCACGCACAGTGGTTAAATTTTACATTTTATGTTATCTATTAAAAAATCATTTATATTGTAGTAGCATTGTGTAACTAACAAATTATGTAATTTTATTTTAAATTGCCTACAATTTAGTTCTTTCACTGCATCTGGTATTTTATTAAATAATTTAGGTGCCAATATAAACATCGTTCTATTGTAAAATTCCAAGGTGGGGCGTTGTTTTGGCCGTATTTCTATTTTGTTGGCCCTGGCACATTTCTTCTGGGTTTTAAACAGTGGTGTAATATGTGTTGCAGCAGCGTTCCCCTAAAGCAGCAGACCATATCGCAAACTAGAGGCTACATAGGCGTGATAAGCACAAAGAGCAGTTTTTTTGTGACGTTATTCTCGTCAGATTTTTCAGGACGTATACGTATTTACTAAGTTTAGTATTTAACTTATTTAAATGTGACTTCCAGCTCAAGTGATTATCAAGAGTAAGGCCCAAGAAATTTGTTTCATCAACCTGAGCTACACCTTTGCCTACCCTCATCGAGTATATAACCAGAAATACAAACGAAATAAGGGCCATACATTCGTGGCAACTCATCAGTGATACATCACTTATAAATATCAACTCTCGTTTGCACTGAAATATAGACAGCGCCAACAACTGACCTGTGTGTACGTCTCCGTATATTCCAAAAATATTCTGTATTTGTTGTAATAACGATAATATCTCTAACAATGGCGTGTTGTTCCATTCGGTGGTGTGGGGAAAACAGCATAACATCTAATTACAAAACGAACGGAACCAAATTTCAACGGTAATTAAATATGTAATTATGCAGTTTTCGGCCATTATAGCAAAGCTCGAGTTAACTGGTCGATTTTAATTGAAAAAGTTGACGACACCCGTCAATTGTTTCGATTTCGGGCTAGCCAATCGGGGCGCAGTTGTCACAGTAATGATATGTAAGGCAGAATAGTTTTCAAACAAATTAAATGACATTTCATCTCTATTTCTAGTTATACACTCGATGCCTACCCATGGTTAAAATTTATAAAAAAATTCGGTTATCATTGATTGTTAACAAAATATATATTAAATATTGGTTTTGCTTCATTATTTTATTTACTCGTAGACAAAGTATTGTGTGCCATCATTACCATAATTAGGTCTTAAAATCTCGTACCTAATACTTCACGGTGCTAGACTTTAAGAGCCCTCATTAAGCAACGAGTGCATAAAATACAATAAAAAGAAGCATGAAAATGACGCTACGATGAAACGAAGTTATGGATTCAAATTTAAAACAATATTCATTTTCTTAAAACACTCTGTATTAATATTATTCGACCCCTCCTACGTAAAATATCGTATGTCGAAATTGTCAAGTTTACATGGGAGCATTTTAAAGTTTTAAATTCACTGAAATAAGCATAACACGGACTAAAGCATTTCACAATATATATTGTGGTTGTTCATCTAACCGATATCTAGGATTAGAATTTCATTTAGAATTTCGACATACGATACTCTAAGTAGAAGGGGTCGATATACCCTACCCAAAGTCGATGTGGAATTATTGTTGTTATATTGGAATTATTCAAAAGAAGTTCAGGTCACGTAAAAATGACATAAATATGGCCAGTAATTAGTTATTTGTAAAACTGTGTTATCAATACCGACTTTTTGATTTGAAGGGGGAGATTGCAAACATTCGAGTACTTGATAATTCAAGTTCCGAATCGGAAATAGATGCTGGATGATATAATATGTAGTAAATTAATATCAAATAAAATCTTACAATTTTGTTTCTCTTCATCTCCCATTACCTACGATCTAGCAGTAAATAGGATGCAAAATTTTATTTTTATTCCTAAATCATAGGTATTTTGTAAACTTTATAATAATTGACTAGATAAGTATAACTTCTATATAACCCACCTACCTACTACTTACCTATGTAAATTCCAATTAAGGAAGCAGGCCGTGGGCAGAGAAAGCCTTAATCAGCATTGAAAAAAATGTTATTTTCCTATGTCCTCCTTGATTTCTTATAATTTGACTTACCTATAGGCAATGTATTGTATTGTCTTGGTGAATAAATATCGGAATTCATAGCAGTGAGAGTTACACTGGAATAGCTCCAAGACAAGACTTCACAAACTAATACTGTAGTAATAATTACAGTACGTACTTACCCGTCCACCTCTCATAACGCATATGTTGTCCGCCCGGCGTGCGTACTGTACGTGGTGTGTAACAAGTACTGTCGCTTTATCGCGAAGGAAACCTCGTATACATTCTTCGTAGATTGCTTGCGCCACCTATAAATAATAACAATGCCAGACTATGTCTCAAATACACGAGTATGAGTATATGATTTTTTGGAAAAAAATCAATTGGACATGAAGGGAAAGTACCTTAAATGCTTAAGTTTTACCTAAAGGAAATATTCTTTTATTTTTCTTAATATGAATAACTGCATTCACAGGATTTTGAGAAACAAGTAAAAATGCAATAAAATAAACGCTCACTATTTTACTCCACATACTAATGGATAGGATTAATGACAAGGATAAAATCTCTCCAATAACATTGGATTTTACAATTAAAGATAACCGCTAAATCTGGAATAAAATGGTAGAAAATGGGTACCTTAAAACCTCAAAAGTTTATTTTTTTTTAAATGCAAGAAAATTACACAGACAATGCTCGATGGAAAATCATAATTTATAAATGTATAATTCACATTTTTGCAACAACGCTTTTGCGTAATGGACTGTCTTTTTGCTCCGTCTTCAAAAAAGACAAACTATAGTTATAATTAAAATATATTCAATTACTTTCTTACCTTGGCATCTACAGCGGCTAAGGGATCGTCAAGTAAGTACAAGTCAGCGTTCCGATACACGCATCTCGCTAACGATATTCTAGCACGCTGACCGCCTGATAGAGACGCCCCTGTGATGAAGAACAAATAAATATAAAAATTATTAATACAACGTTCGAACACTGGGAAAAAATTCGAACCAACGTCTTCCAGCAAACGGTGCCAGTTTTAGCGACTTCTTTGGTTTAATAGATTTCTCACAGATGGCGCTACGACAAAAAAATCGTTAAAAACCTAAAACAAAGATCTGCAACAAGCATATAGAAAAATTCGTAAAGTCCGCTAGTTCGTTCCGTGGCTTAGTTGGCATAGCATCTGCCACGGTTTGCTGGATGACGTTGGTTCGAATACAGCCGGATCGAAGGAATTTTTCTTAGTGCTCGATCTTTGTATTAATAATTATTACGAAAACTTAAAAATTATACATACAAAAATTTGAATTACAAAATACATTTTCAAAAATTAGTTTTTATACATTGAAATCGAGCCCGGGGCAGTGCCACCCAGAGCTTTAAATCAGAAAGATCTGAGGGGCACTCCCACTGTGCCGGTCACCCTGAGACATAAGTTCGCAAGTCCCTTTTGTCTGTAATTTCACAAGCACCCTTACCCTTCAAAACCGGAACACAGTAATGCTCAGTAATGCTCACATTACTGCTTGGCGGCAGAAATAGATAAGGTGGCAGCACTTCCCTGGACGAACTCTTTTACAAGGAGCTCTATTGCTATTTAAAAAAAATGTATTAAAAAATTATGTTTGAAACCAAAATATATCATACCTCTTTCCCCAACGATGGTCTTGTCACCGTGCGGTAATATCTCCAAGTCGCTCTTGAGCTGGCAACATTTGATCACTTGCTTATATCTACGTAGGTCCAGATCTTGACCAAAAAGGATGTTTTGGCGGACCTGTAGAAAAGTAACAATGAACAATAGACAATATCATGTGGATTACGTTCTGCGAAAGTAACCATCCCTTTAAACCAAATGAGTTCACTCACCTAACAATAGCTTGAGATGCTTGGGGTTGTAAATACATTATTTGTAAAATACTAAGAAAGTCAGTCTCATTTTTATTCCACAATAAATTTATACTTGAAAATGTCACTTTTAACCTACTTCTCGTTTTCTACTTCTGACTTTCCTGAGAAGAACAAGCAAGCAAGAAACTCTAGAGATTGCTCTTTTTAAATAAACTTAAATGCTGCGGAATACACTTTGAACCAAATTTGTGTGGAATCTAGAGCCGTGTCGTCTGTCCATACATCTTTATATAACACGTAGTCTTCAATTTTGTAATATGACTTTTCAATTAATTTTTTTAATGTAGTTTTAAAATCAGGAAATGATAATTTTAATAATGCTCTGGAATCTCATTGTAAAAACGTATACAGTTCCCCATAAAAGAGTCGTTTACCTTGGTTAAATGAAATCTTGGTACCATGAGTTTGGACTTAGCTCTTTATGGATAACTTTTTTCTTATTGAAATTGTGTATATTTTTACGGGCTTATAAAATATTTGAGTAAATGTACTGTCATGATACCAGTCTCTTTAAATTTTTCCCTGAGACAACAACAACTTCCCAGAATTATATTGCTACCATCAGTGGAAGCAATTTCACAAAAGTAATTGAATATCATGGTGGTCAAAATGGAAGATACTCCAAATTGGTACTCACGGAAGCCTCAAAGAGCCAAGGATCCTGAGCAGCATAAGCAATTATGCCTTTCACCTGCAAAAAACCACTTGACGGTGTCAGTTCCCGTAGCATGGCTTGAAAAAGCGTTGATTTACCAGACCCCACTGTACCTACTATTACCGTTAATGTTTCAGGTCTTACCTGGAATTAATAAATATGTTGGATTTCATGTTTTTTTTGCATTGGATTAATCAAAAATCGTAAAGTCAAAAAGTGTAAAGGTACCTAACTGGATGACGAAATACTTTCAGAGATTTCTCATAGATGGCGCTACAGCTAAAAAGTCGTTGAAAACCAAATACAAAGATCGAACAAGCACATAGAACAGTTCCTGAAGTCAACTGGTTCGTTCCGTGGCTTAGTTGGCGTCTGGCTGTTGGAGAACGATTTCTTCTCATTTTAGAGGTCGATACGGTGTAAATTTCTATGGTAACTATAATTTCAAAATTTTTTGTTTTCTTTTCAGTAGCGGTAGAACCCCTTGTGAAAGAGTTCGTCCAGGGAAGTATTGCCACCTTACCTATTTCTGCCGCCAAGCAGTAATGTTAGCATTACTGTGTTCTGGTTTTGGAGGGTAAGGGTGCTGGTGAAATTACAGAATTACAGGCACTTTGGACTTGTCAAATTACGTCTCAGGGTGATGGCCCAATGGCAGTGCCTCTCAGATCTTTTCGATTTCAAACTGTCGCTTACCAACAGGCACACGACTACTTCGCACCGATCCGTAAATGTGTAAGTTGATGTACTGCCGTTTGTACATTTATAAAAAAAAGGACTGATAGCTATGACCAACTGCCACTCAAGCATACGCCGTGTGTTTCGAGTCCGGGTTCGCACCTCTGAGTTTCTCGGAATATGTTTTGTAGTGAGAAATTTAATTTGAAATTAACAATAAGCTTTTCGGTAAGCAAAGTTAGTGTGAAGTCCTTAACTGCCTCCGTGGCGGAACGGTTACCTGCTGAACTGCGCAACGAAAAACGCAGCGGTCCCGGTAGATTCCCAGGCCGGGAGAAGTATTTGTATAACCTACATTTTATTTCTCTCGTGAGTTTGGGTGTAATTTGTGCGAATTGCAATCCGAGATATCTTACTTGTAAATTAATGTCGCTCAATGCAGCAATCTTTCTGTCTAGTGCGTCGTCTTCTGTGTTTTTCCAATGGGCCGTGTAGTCCTTCATCGTGACCAGCACTGGTACTTTGGCGGGCAACAGGTTTGATTCTGATTTTATATACGTTTGTTGGCTGCAATGAAAAGCTAATAATAATAATAATAATAAACTCATTTATTTGTCTGGAAAACAGTGATACATTTTATAATAAACTCAAACACAGCGCTAATTAGTAAAACAAAACGTTTTATGACTCAGTCGTCGCGGGGAACCATCGAGTAATCACAAATTAGAAAGATGAAATAGTACAGCGCCAACAACTAACCTGTGTGTACGTCTCCGTGTATTCCAAAAATATTCCGTATTTATTGTGACAAAGGTAATTAAGGATTGAAAGAATGTGTAATTTTTCAATTTTCGTCCATCTCAATTTGAAGTGAAACAATTGACGACACCCGTCAATTGTTTCGAATTCGGGCCGGCCAATCGGAGAAAAGTAGGTATTGTAATTAAGATATTTTATTTTAGAACATGAAAACTAAGGATAATAAACCTATTCAGAGTGGCGGCGGGCGCGGGTGTATGGAAATCAAACATACGTAGCCGCTCGTTGCGTTCACAGAGGCTTTCACAGTGCTTGGTCTAGCGTGTAGCGTCTGCGATTTCGACGTGTGGGTCTACCCGTTCGTGGTCGCTTCGGCACTGTGAAAGGGAAGACCGCCCGCACCTGCCGCCGTGCTTGCGCCTGCACTCTGAATGAGCCTTATCAGTATCAATCCATTCCAAGCGCAAGAGTCTGCTGTGTAATTCGCGAGAATATCCACGAAAAGTTGAAAGTGTATGATTAAATTGAATTTTACGGATAGATCATTTCAAATTTTGGCATTAGCGCATTTAAAGCAACCTCTTGCGCCAGTCAATCTAAACACATGATTAGATTGGCTGGAGCAAGAGGTTGCTTAGATTGGCTGGCGAAAGGATTCTAAATTTAAAACAGAAACGTATACGATGTGTGTGCTTGCGTGTATTTATTCATTTTCATCACACTAGCACGTAAATAGTGTGATGAAAACCGTAGTATGTTTCACGGACGGTCCCTCGACTCGGAAAGCCCGAAGTCGAAGCCCTCAGTCTTCGACTTCGGGCTTCCAATAGAGTTTTGGGACAGGCCGGGGTAACAAAAAAGGAAACGTCGTGATGTGTTTGATAGTTCACTGTATTCTTCCGAAATTACACGGAACTTCACCTATCGCTAACGTTACACAGTGGAAGTTAATTTTGTAGCCTCGCTGACGTAGCGCACGGTACGTTATCACTTCGGACAAGAGAGACTGAGTTCTAGCGAATGGTTTCAGACTATTGGCCGGAAACGTGAATGACGTCAGGGTTGCGCCCACAGAGTGTCGTTCGTAATTCCTTCTTTACCGCCCTTAATACGCAATGTACTATTGTTCGTATTGCTGTGCAATGTGCCACGGGAAGTGAGCGTGCCTACAGCGTGCGTACGTGCACCCGAGGCGGCTCACCCGAGGCACCAGCCTCTCGAAGAACCGGATGAAGTCAAGTGACAGTGGTCCGTGACAACCGTGTACACTAGCTGATCTGGGGTCAGAACCCGAACTTATAAGATTCCTGTGCGCGCACAGGTCATAGTGCCCTTCCCGCATAACCAAGAGGTTGACAGGGAGGGGCACTATAAACAAAACATATTGACTGGGAACTGGCAACCGGTACTATATCAATTTTGACAACTTTACAGGTGAAGAAAAAAATCACTTATATATCATCTGGTTTATTAAACAAAAATACGTAATGTACATACATACATGCATGTGTAATAAAAATATTTAAAAACTACGTATCGAGTTCTTAGGTTTTCGCGATTGTTACACATAGGAAATGAAACTATTTTTCCGGATTTAAATAGCGTATATTTGTTTTTTCATACAAACCGACGTTTCGGGCCCTTTACAGGTCCCATCCTATCGAGTCAACCGTGACCAAGGGAAAAATAGTTTCATTTCCTAAAAACTACGTATTTTTATTTAAAAAACCAGATGCTATATAAATGGCGCAAACAATTTTTTTCATTTACTGTAAAATTGTCAAAATTGAGATAGAACCGATTGCCAGTTCACAGTCGATATGTAGAATGATATGAGACTGTTCGTATTGTAATTTACACTGACAGTAACAATCTAAACATGTAAACCATAGACAATAAGGGTTGAGTCGATCGCCGTTCAAAATCAAGCTGAGGATTTTTTTTATAATACCTAGTTTTCGACCACAGAGCTTCGGGCTGTGACCGTCTAAGGCCTAATAGCTTGAGCTACCGACTGTCAAGCAGAAGCTGTTGGTTCGAACCCGAGCTGTTTCGGTAAAGAAAACATCGTGATGAAAACTGCATGTCGAAGAAGGTTCACAACCCTCGGAAAACGTCTAAAGGCCCTCGCTTGAGAGAAGACCCATGCCTAGCAGTGGGATGTACAAATGGTTTGATGACGATGATGACGGAAAAACTTACCCGATATTATTGCTCGTGAGCGTAAACAAAACTAACTTACCCATTTCCAATCTTCTCAAATACGCCATTAGCCTTAACACTTTTTAATTCTTCAACATAAACCAAATCGACGCCATCTTGATTGTCAATTTCAGGCAGCAGCAAGAACTCTTGCATCCTTTTCAAACTAACGTATGCCTCTAATGTGACCGTTATTGCCAAAGGGAGAAAATCTACTAAAGTGTATTTTAACATGTCGTAATAGGAAAATAGAACGAACACTTGGGCAGCTGTCAAGGTGTTTTGAAATGACACAAAGGATATCACTGAGAGGAATATGGCAACTTTCGTGTTGAGTTTGACGCATGATATCATGACGGCGCGGAGCCATGCCATTTTTTTTATTACGTTCATTTCTTTTCTGTAAAAGAAAACAAAAAGTTATATGAATCCGTTAAAATATCGGATAAAATGGTCGCTACAACAAAAAAAACGTTTAAGATCCCAATATAAAGATCTGCGACAGGCAATAATAATTACAAACTATAGTCGTGGTTACCGTTACATTTAGTCTACATCCCTATTTAAGTCACGATGACAAGTGTCAAAAGGTGCCTCTTATTTAGTGATATTTTCACAGAAAATATATTCAAAAAAATAAAATATTGCAATTATACTAATTTATTCATGTATAATTTATTATAAAATAATTTGTTAATATTTATTACTCGGAAAATTTAATCGTTCCTAATTGGTTCCCACAGTATCAGCAGGCTTAGTAAAAAACAGTGCTTTAAACGGCAACACCGAACCGGAAATAGAAAATATCAATACCATCGACTTGTCACGCCATCTATTATAAAAAGTAGGAACTACTTACTTCCTGGCTTGGCCAATGATTCTAGCAAATGCTTTTTCCCAAGCATACATTTTAATGGCTTCTATACTTTGTATAACTTCGTTCATTAGACGAATACGATTATCAGTACGCATTGCAGTCTTCCGACGTAGTTTACTTGAAATTTTACCTAAGTAACCTGAAAAATAAAGACAAAGTTACTACCGGCCACCAAATTCATACTAGAAGCACCAAATTAGCAGTAGGAGCTGGGGCAGAATATTAAGGCGAGGTAATTAAATATGTAATTTTGCAATTTTCGTCCATGATAGCAAAGCTCAAGTTAACTGGTCGATTTGAAGTGAAACAATTGACGACACCCATTGACGAAACCTGTCAATTGTTTCGAATTTGGGGCTGACCAATTGGAGCGCAATTGTGACAGTAACGATTTGGCAGAATAGTTTTCAAACAAATGAAATTACATTTCGTCTCTATTTCTGGTTATATACTCGATGGGTAAAGTACAACTTATTGTGTAACAAATTTGGTAATTTGAAAAGAATGGGCACATACTTAGGTGAGAGAATATACTTAGGTGTATAGTATATTTTTTGTAAAACTGTTATTTAATAGTAAATACTTAAAACATTTGATGTAGCTATACAGGTTTTCACCATTTCTCCTCCATTAACTTGCCTTAAGGTGAAGTGAGAGCCAAAATAGAAACAAGGAAAATCGGTTTTTCGGCGTTAAAAAATATGACTTGAAACTGTTTTTTTAATTGATAATTAAAACCGAAATTACTAGTAGTAAACCCGAAACACGATTGACAAAACTTCGCACGACAAAAAATAAACGCGAAGTTCCGCAAAAATTTCATTTTTTACTACGTTCAAAACGATCAGTTTCTTTGAATTGTTATTAGAAATAATTCAAAATTTGCTCTATATGAGCCTATTTTAAAGTAAGCGAGTATATTTTATTTCTGAAAGGCAAATATTGTCCTATGAATTTCTCCTGCGTCAACCTTCAAAACCTATGCAATCACGATAATATTTCGCCTTAATACATGATGACGGAAAAGGTCACAGAGATAAAGTATCATGGCGGAACTTGACATGGCCACCTGTATTCACTATTGGGTGTTTAATATACTTTGAAAATTATTTAACGTATAGCTATAGCGAGAGCTAAATAACTGAATGACATGAATATGTTATTACTTTTGAATATCAAGTCTCGTTTGCGTTAAAATAATAAATTAGAAAGCTGAAATAGTACAGCGCCAACAACTGACCTGTGTATACGTCTCCAAAAATATTCTGTATTTATTGTAATAAAGATAATATCTCTAACTATGAATGGAACACCATTCGGTGGTGTGGGGAAAAACATCTAATTACAAAACAAACGGAATCTCATGTCATAGGTAATTAAATATTTAATTTTGCAAGTTTCGTCCATTCTAGCAAAGCTCAAGTGAAACTGGTCGTTTTCAAGTGAAACAATTGACGACACCCGTCAATTGTTTCGAATTTGGGCTGGCCAATCGGAGCGCAATTGTCATAGTAATGATTCATTCAAACAAATTAAATGACATTTCGTCTCTATTTCTGGTTATATAATTGATGACATGACCATAGAGTGCACGGTTTACCTGCGTATTTGCCTATTGGCGCCTCTGATGTGTGTCGAGAAACAAACCAACGCGGTAACGCGTGTTTAGTGTTTGCTACATTTATCGAATAGGCAAACAAGGCTTTGTCATACATGCTATATCTATAGTCTGTCTTTTTTGAAGGCGGAGTAAAATGACATTTGTAGAGTTGCCAGTTTCATAAACTTTTAAATAGTTATGTAGTTGTTGTCGATAGTTTTATCGATAGATTATGAATTACTACTACTGAACTGTGAAAGTTACGACGTTCTAATAATTACTAATTGCGTTACTGCTTTCTTTATTCTTATTTTGACAGTTGACCTACTGGTATCGAGATCGATTTTTATTCGTATACAGAACTACAAAAGTCGTAAAATTGGATAATGTGTATTGAATTGAAATGAAAAACTTTAAAATACGTCTCCTCTTTGTATTTTTCACAAACATGCTTCTAAATAGTGTATTATGTATGAACATACAAAAATTGACAATGAAATGAACTTGTACTCAGTAATTGGATTAATAATGGGTCGAGAATGTTTCAAATGAAACAAGTTCGGCTATTTATTCGACAAGCGTGACCAATATCGATAGTCGATAGAATTTTTATCGGCTGCAATCACTAACTGCTCGCAAGCGGGCAACACTTGCGCGATGAACTGTCATTTTACTCTTGTCTTCAAATAATACAGACTACGGTGACATGGTGATCATTTGCCAAATATACAAATAGCCATGTGAAGTGCCACCATCAGACGTGTAATAAAGAGTACAAACCTTGTAAAGGTATAAAGAGCAGCAAAAAGGAGACGCCAATAAGTGTAGCGACCCCAATTTGCCTGTACATAAGGTACACAATAAGAACGCTTTCTATTGGCGTTCTCACTAAGTCCACAAAAAATAACGATGCCATGTCGAATCTTTGGGCGTCTGTAGTTAGCAGGTTCACCACGTGGCCGGCAAGGCCTTCCGAGGCTTTGCCCCCGGCTGTTAGATCGAGGCGGAGGAGCTACAAAGTATACGATTAAAATTAACAATAGGAAAATATTAATTAAAATTAAATAAGGTTGCCAGGTTATTTTTGGACCCTTTTTTAATGTTTTAAAAAGCATGAAATCTTATTTCAGTTGTTTAAACTTTTTGGTACGTGAATGTATCACGTGCCAAAAAGTTTAAACAAAACAATTTCACAAACAAGTTATGATATCTATATGTAATAAGGAAATCGGTTTCCAGGAATAGAAGAGAATACTTTTAGTATTTGCTGCCAGAACAAAGAATACCTCTTATTCCTGTCGGTTAAAGTAGTCGCTCAAAAATACAACAAAATGTTAACGTAAAGAACCAAAATATTGTATTACAAGTATTCTCTGACTTTCTGAAAGGAAATATGTGGACATATATACAGGCTGCTAAAAAATTAGACACGAATACTTTTAGAAGCCACTTCTTTACCCTATTATTATTGAAGTAAGGTAATCGCAATATTGTTAATGTTCGAGTAATTTTTAGAAAAAGTAATCACTAAACGCACCCTGTATTAAAAGGTGGTATTGAAGATACTTTTATTGTTATTAAACAATTGATACAGGGATTAAAATCTCTTCAAAGATATCTTTTGTAAAGTCCTTCACTACTGTAGCAATACAAATACAATTCAGTACAATGAAAATGACGTGGAATGTCAATGTTACGTTATTTCTTATCTTATATTATGACAAACAAAGTGATGTCGTTAGGAGAAGACATTTAGACAGAATTATGCATTTGTTTTTTGTACGCGAAAATAAAATCACAGAAAAAGTCTCTCCGATTTGTATTTAAAACTGATCCCTAAGCAAGCAAAATGACAACTTAAAATTATCCACATATAATTTACGAACATCTTATATCAATAATAAAGTGTCGTAATTTGAAACGTATTTTTTTGGAAAACTGTATAATAGATTTTAAAAAACCTACGAGACACCAGTCATATCTGTGTTCTTACACAAAATCTGTCACACAGCCATATCTGTGTTCTTGCTCTTGCAAAAGAGGCAGCCTTGTGTCCCACATGTAACTGAGCGAAAATATAATAAAACAGATTAAAAAGATGCGACAAAATTACAAATGATTTAAAAAACAATATATTAGTTTTATTTCCCACGTATTTTTCTTTTTATTATTTTGTTAGTTCGCCAAACATTTTGGAATTTTTTTAATCAAAATTTTTACAAGAGGGAGCTAGAGAAATTGCGAGAAAAACTCAGATATTCATGCAATGAGTAGGTTATCTAGGTTATCATAAATTGTTTAATACAATATACCCGATTTTTTAATGCGACTTCACAGTAAAAGTTATTGGTACTAATGGGTAACCATAAAACAGAAACAGACTAGTACAAATAAAATTAAAATCACCCACTAAAATAATGAAATACAAATAATTGTCACCTTATGAAAGACCTGACCAGTGTAAACAAGAGAGCCTCTTGCTCTCTCTGCATTAAAATTTACGTACCTTTCTGTAAATAAGCGAGCAGCAAGCCACCCTGATTTTCAAACTTAAATGAAGAAGCCATAACAGCATTGGATGCAATATACTGGCGCTTATTGCCATGAGACTGTAAAAATTAATGACAAGTTAATAAAGAGTATTCAAACATTTGAAAGTTAGTCAGAAAGACCTCTGTGCGTCGTTTAAGAGAATGCTTCTCGAGACAGAGGAAGCAAAAAGAATGGAAGCTAAGAATCCTATAGCTCTTTGATTATGGGTGTTACCATTAGAGACGGGAAAAACTGCTTATTTTTTAAACGTTTAAACGTTCTTTCACTTAAAGTTCGGTCTGTTCGGGATTCGGGAACTCACTTAAGTACATTAAAAATTGACGTAATTGGGGACAGACAGGCACACTATATTTATCTTAACTTTGCGACACAGTGGGTCGGATTAGCGATATTGCGGACATTGGATTGTTTTCACGATACCTCTCTAAAAAAAATGCCAATCGAGAAATGCTATTGTCCTAATTAAATATTGTTATATCATATTTTGCCATAAATGTAATAGTTTAGTAGGGAAAAAATAAAATGTGTACTTTTTGTATGGGCCTATACCTTTAGTGCCCCATCATTACAAAGACTTAGTCGATCCAGTCTTGGAACACTACAGACTTATTATTACACCTATCTTCTATAGATTTGCATACTAAAGGCGCGCCCAAACCTGCCTATTCACCTATTCATCTGCCTATTTAGGTCCAGGACCTAAAAATATTGTCTTAAGGCAGTCTCCATTTTCTGTCTATGTTCCTCGAAATTTAGGCAAAAATACTCTACCTATTCCGATCCCTGGTAATAATAGTAGTAAATTTGATCACTCACCCAACGACTCCCAAAGCGTATAAATATGCGTGTGTAGTCGATATCCCTGTATGCGACGGCGAGAAGTAATTTATCAAGCCCTCTAAGCACATAGGGGTCGATAATCTGTAATCGTACAAAAAGGGATTATACTTAACGGTTTATAACACCACTATGGTTTTTAATCTCTCTGCGTTTCCGAGTCTCGAAAATCCCGGGAATAACGAGGTTTTAGTAGCAGTAGAGCTCCTTATGAATGAGTTCGTCCAGGGTTGCACTGCCACCTTATCTATTTCTGCCGCCAAGCATTACCGTGTTTCAGTTTTGAAGGGTTGGTGAAATTACAGGCATTTGGGACTTGTTAATTTATGTCTCAGGGTGACGGGCGCAGGATGAAGTGCACCTGAGATCTTTGCGATTTAAAGCTATATATATACCTATATATATACCACTACTGCAACTGTCATTCACGACTTGTTTGTCCTTTTTTTTTTTTTTTTGTCACATGGTATTATAAAAAAAGGCTTTGCAGGGTACGGGTCCCAGGGTTGGCAACTTCATACGTCTTGGAAGGTTGTTAACCTTTGACGTGCAGGTTTTATCACGATATTTCTTCGCCCACGACCTCCGGTTGAGAGGCAGTAGCAGTGGCGTAGCGTTGGTGCAAAGAGGGCCAAGGCCCCGGGCGGCACAACAATGGGGGTAGCGGTGAGAGCGACCAAGCCCTGGGGTTAATTATAAATAAATTCCATTCATTGAGAAAACGATATATTGAACGAATGTATGAATTAACGATTTTTCATTATATCAAGTGAGGGGACGAACAAGTCGTGCGCCTGATGGTAAACTACGCGCCTGTCCATAACAGTTGCATTGCCACTCAGAGTTTTGAATCGCAAAGATCTGAGGGGCACTGCCACTGTACCCGTCACCCTGAGACATAACGATGCCTTACTTTTGTCAATTGATTATTCATGAGATGACAAAACTTTCCATTTATTTTAAATTTCTTATCAAGGGGTTTAATTTGAATGCATTACTTTAAGAATAGGTAAAAGCCAGTGTGTGAATATGAAGGTAATCTAATGTGACATCAGCCTGCAAACTTTGTATACACAATCCATTTTTTGAATTTCAGTAATTTTGTGCTTTGTGTGCTTTAAGATACGAGTTTGAGAACGTAAAGCGACGATAAGTTGACTAGTCACATGTGCGTGTAATTTCACCAGCACCCTTGCCCTTCAAAACCGGAGCGCAGTAATGCTAACATTACTGCTTGGCGGCAGAAATAGATAAGGTGGCAGGCAGTACTTCCCTGGACGAACTCTTTCACAAGGAGCCCTACTGCTACTAAATATGATCTTAATTATGTTTCATGCAGTAGTATTCACCAGTAGGCGAGGCTTGCAATGACGCGACACGCCATTTAGAGAACAGAAAGAGCTCGTAGAGTTGTTAAGAGCTGTAACCTCAGTGTGGCAACAGGCGCTGGTTCGAGTCTAATTAAATCGAAGGATTTTTTCTTTCTGTTATCCAATCTTTGTATAAATAATAATATAACCATTTTGTTTTTTATTTTCTTTTTCAACTATTATTTTTAATCATTCCGCGATTTCAGAGGAAGTTGTTATCAACTCTATATGTGTTACTTGAGGTTTGAATAAATATAGTTTGCATATTTCCGATCTGTGCTAATTATAAATAATAATAAACACTCACCTAATACTAGCATCGACGATTGCGAAGAGAAAATTTCCTACAAAAAACTTTAGACTATGGATTTTCAGTATTGCGCGTAGCAGAGATGGTTTCTTGCCTTTTTCTGGAATAAACAATATTGACAAGTTAGTAGTGAACTCTTGTGCCAAAGAATACTATTAAGCGCAGGTCACACCGCGAACGTAGTTCACGTAGTTGCGTGCAACCAACTATGAGAGCTAAGCTAACTTGGACCTAGTTAAGCAAAAGAGATCCAATCCACAAAACTATCAAAGAATGGTTTTTTTTTAATATCAGGTGACGGGACGAACAAGTCGTGCGCCTGATGGTAAGTTACACGCCTGTCCATAACGGTTGCAGTGCCACTCAGAGCTATAAATCGCAATGATCTGAGGGGCACTGCCACTGCACCCGTCACCCTGAGACATAAGATGACAAGTTTCATGTGCCTGTAATTTCACCAGCACCCTTACCCTTCAAAACCGGAACGCAATAATGCTGACATTACTGCTTGGCGGCAGAAATAGGTAAGGTGGCAGTACTTCCCTGGACGAACTCTTGCTAGGAGCTCTACTGCTACTAAATGTATATATTTATATTTATTTTATTAATTTTATGCTTGGATAATTAACTGCATGAAAAAATATTCAATACAAGCGCAGCTATTTTGGACGATTTAACCATCACTGGGTTCGCGGAGTAGCAAATTAATTTACTTCCAAATGATTATCACTAGTATCAGGTTTCTTACCACGGTATGACTTCTTTTTATTTTCCCGATATTTCGGAACGGTTGCACGCTCCATGGTCACGGGTTGACTGGACGGCGGCAGATGACAG